ATGCCTGACACAGCAGGGGATCGTAGACTACACATAGCACTGGCTCGTAGACTACAAGCAACAGGATTATATAAACTAGCAGCACTAGAGTCATCAGCATACAGGGAATACAATCTCTGATCTGTCTTAATCAAATCCATATCAAAGATAGGCACCCCACGACGAAGCAAGGTAGGCCAGGGAGGTACCTGCGCCAGCGGGCCGAAATGACGGCGGTAGAGGTCGTCCAGGCAGCGGTAGTAGCAAGCGGCGGTGTGCCCCACACGCCCGCAGACCTTGCCCTCCTGCAGGCTGGTCAGCAGCTGGTGCGTGCAGGTCCCCGCGCCTCTAGAATCGCCAGCACCCTGGCTTACAAAGGAGCCACGCGACCCCCAGGACACTGGCTGCCCTGGGGACCAACCTCCATGGCCTCTTCCACGACCACTACCCCCAGGGCCCGCCAGCCCCCACCACCCGCTGCTGCCGACCCCCCATGCCCCTTGCCCTTTTTGCCCTTGCCCTTGCCCCTCTGATCCAAGGAGACTGCAGCAGCGGTCTCAGTGGCCGCAACAGAGGCACAAGCCCTAGGGACAGGGAGCTGGGGGGTAGAGCAGCCTTGAAAGACGGGGACTGCCACCATGTCAATGGTGTCAGCGATGGCACGGAGGCGCGACTCAACCGTCGTCAAGGCGGAGGAGAACTCAATGATAGTGTGGGAGGCAGGGGGCACAGCTAGGAGCGTGTCTCGTACGGGGGCGAGACGGTCAGGGAGGCATGTGGCAAGGAGGTACAGGGTGAGGCAGGTGGGCAGGAAGTGGGTGGTGCGGTGCTCCTCATGGCAAGCTGCATGCCAGCGAGCCTTTAGGGGTTGGAGATGCGCTACCAGGTCAGCTACAGTTGAGGAGGCTAGGTCGGGGAAGAGAATGGGCAGGACCAGACGAACTAGGGTGGCTGAGGACTGGGTGGAGTAGCGAGCGAAAACTGCGTCCCAGATACCCTTACTTAGAGGTCTTGAGCGTCTCAAAGTGAGTCTGCTCGTCAGAGGGGAAGGCCCTAGTGACTACCAGCTGCGCAGCAGCGTCGCGGGACTGCCGGACAGAGAGGGCGGCCAGGGCAGTCTCAACCTCAGTCTGCTGTGCGGACGTCACGTCAGCAGCTTCAGCAGTGGGCTCTGGGGGGCCAACTAGCGTACTTGATGTGTGGGCCACAAGAGCTTAGCCGCCCTGGCGGATGGACGTGAGCTGGCGACGGAGAGTGACCAGCCAGGCCGAGAAGTCAATCGCGTGACCCACAGCGTCCAGGCGGAGGACAGTGGCAGGCGGGTTTGCCATAGCGGCGGCTAGTGGGGATGACAACCGCAGCAGGTACAGCAGCGGCTACTGCAGCAGCGAACTGCTGGAGGCGGTGGCTCTATGTGCTGCTAGTGGCTATAACAAGTATACACTAGCTAAGATATGAATACATTTGTTGACACTTCGACCTACAGGATTGCTCCAGCCACTCGAGCAATGCAGCAAGCCCTGGCAACAAGTGACGATGGACTTCGAAATAAGCCTACCAGCCGGTCCAACTGGTAACGAAGAGATCCCCGTTGTCGTTAACCGCTTGACAAAAATGGCTCACCTCGCCACCTGCAAGACAACAATAACTGCAGAGCAAACATCATATTATTCCTCGCCAGCATCGTGCGGCTACACGACATCGCATCGGCAATCATCAGCGATCGAGACCTGCGCTTCACGTCCAACTCTAGACAAAAACGGTGGAACAGTATGGCACACGTCTCCACCTGCCCACGGCCTACCACCCGCAATCGGAGGGGCAAACTCAATGCACCAATGAGACCATGGAGCAGTTGATTCATGCGTCATGCACTGCCCTGATACAATGGAAAGATTCCCTCCTCTTAATCGAGTTTGCCTACAATAACGCTCCATAAGCAACGACTAATCAGTCCTTGTTCTTCCTCAATCATGGGATAGATCCAGCAACTCCCCTATCACCACTGGTAGAAAACCCGGCAATTTGTCAAAGACCTGCAATTTGTCGAAGACCTGCAACATTCTCAACAAAAAGCCGCCGATGCCATCACCAAAGCCAACTAGACGGCTGAGCGGAATGCTGATCGACACCGCCGAGATTTAACCCTGGCCAACTAGTCCTTCTCCTCGAAAACTAGTCCTGCTCGACACGAAGAATTTGGGAATGCCCCTCCCAAATAAACTCAAGCCACGATTTTATGGACCATTCCGCATTATCCGCATACTGACATCCATCACCGCCCAACAGCAGGCGCCTGCTGGTTGACAAATCCACAACTCCTTCCGCATCAGCCTCCAACTGTTTGTCCTGAGTACGACCAACCTCGACCGTCAAAATCTTAATCCAACGATCAATCCGGTACCCGAGCTGATGACAGAACCGGCCAAGATTATCAATGACCATGTACGTGACCGCCGAGACACGTCAACCATTGATTGCATTGTCCGTTGGACTGATCGAATGAGCGACGATGATTTTT